GCTTTACCAAATGACTCCCTATTCTGCATAGCTCAAATGAAAAGCAATTCTAGAGAAAAAGGCCAGCTTCCAAAATATTTAAAAAACAATTGCAAAAAGAGAGAAAGAGAATGGTGGAACAGAAGACTAAAATAGAATGGATCACACTTCACTTGGAGGATTTCCCTTACACCAACAACATGCAATCATTTGTAATAAAACTAGAAATAGCAGGCAGCCAAACTATCTTTAAGACCTAGAAAGAGAACTCACTATGTCTTTCCTAGCTATTTTTTTTGTCACTGCTGTCAACTTTCTTTTGGGCATGCCCAATCTGATGAGATCTTACTGTGTCTTAAATGTATTTAAGTCTACCTGTTGTAGCCTTTAAATGACAATCAATAATTTGAAGCTGCTATTTGGTGGCCCCAGTAGACAGATTTCCTGTTCATGCAAATTACAGCTTCATAAGAAGAAACTACATACTTTTGGATCAATACAGGGCAGAAAGATTTAAATCACAAAAAAATTGAATAATAATTATTTTCTCCAATTCTAGATGAGCTGGTATATTGAAGCCATCTTTTATTGAAGGTATGCTTAGACCTTGTCTGTTCTATTAAGTAAAGTAAGCTTGGAATGCCCTGGACCATATTAACCTGCAAGTATGGAAAAGTCAATTTTGAATACTTCTCTTCGTTAAAAAAAAAAAAACCAAAATATCTTTCTACCCCAAGCTTAACAATAGAGAGTAGCCCCAACAAAAAATATGCAATGCTTAATGTGTTAATCTATTGAATTAACATCAAAATTTGTTCCAATCTATGACAGATTTTTAAACAGACAGTGTAGTATTTATAGAAACGACAAATGGCAAACACACTTTTAAAAAGACACATTCCTTCACATTAAAAAGATACAAATGTTCTCCCATTAGTTGTTTTCTCATGCACATAGTTGCCTCCCCATGTAGAGCATGATTTTACTGATGAACAAATGCTCTTATATCTACCCTTGTATGGAAGTTATGAAGCAGTCAACATGTCAACAACAAAATGCTTCTTTTAATCATCTCTCACACTTCTGCACTTGCATTTAGCACTGTGTTGCTAGAATGCATACTGTAGCAAACTATTACTGAAGAAAGAAGTTAGTGTTCTCTGTATTAATCACATATTTTTAAAGACATCTAGCTGCTTGCGTATATTGATTACCTATAAACGGGATATAATATTTTGCCATTTTATTGACATGAGCTAAAAACATCACTTTTTTAAGCTATGAAAAATAAAATTTACACTGGCAAGTAAGACCAAAATTCTTAAAGTTAAATCTACCATCCACGTCATTTTAACTTGGTTTTACTACAAACAAACAAACATAGTGAGGTTTTAAGTTCTATCCCCAAGACGAAAGTACAAGAGGATGAGAGAAATGTCTTGTGATGCTAATAGAATGCATCTATTTCAGGCCTGTCAAACTGGCAGCCTGCGGGTCAGATATGGTCTGCGCAGGCCACACCCATCCCAGCTCCGCAAAGGCATAAAACATCACGATACGTCACGATATGAAAGGGGTTTGACACCCCTGCACTAGTGTGACACTAAAGCCCACTCAGATATCCTACATTTTAAGCTGGGTAATGCTTTGGATTCAGTTGTGAAAAACAAAATAATTAAATACACATAAACAATAATGTGCAACTGAGGCTTCTAGTAGTCTGTCTGAAAAGCAATAACACCAACCTTACACAGTGGGTTTAATAGATATCTGGCTTAATGCCTGAGGTTTTTGAAGGTCAGGCTAACAGATTAGGTTCATGCCAGGGGGATGCTGTTCCATAGTGCAGGTATTGTGACAAAGAAGGCATGTCTCCTGGTTCATGACAGAGGTCAATGTTTCAGAGAAAGGATTTAGAGCATGCCTAACTTGATCTGATGCAGAGGTGGGTTTCAGCAGGTTCTGACCAGTTCTAGAGAACTGGTAGTGGAAATTTTGAGTAGATCGGAGAACTGGTAGTAAAAATTCTGACTGGCCCCACCCCCATCTATTCTCTGCCTCCCAAGTCCCAGCTGATCGGGAGGAAATGGGGATTTTTTTTTTTTTAATTTGATTTATATGCCGCCCTTCTCCGAAGACTCAGGGCGGCTTACAATGTGCTCAGCAATAGCCTTCATCCTTTTGTATATTTATACAAAGTCAGCTTATTGCCCCCACAAACTGGGTCCTCATTTCACCTACCTTAGAAAGGATGGAAGGCTGAGTCAACCTTGAGCCTTGGCGAGATTCGAACCCTGCAGTAATTGCAGGCAGCTGGTCTTAAGCAGCTTAATAACAGGGTGCCTTAAACCCTTGTACTACCAAGGCTCTTTTGCAGTAACCTTCCCCTGGAGTGGGGTGGGAATGGAGATTTTACAGTATCCTTCCCCTGGAGTGGGGTGGGAATGGAGATTTTACAGTATCCTTCCCCTGCCACACCCACCAAGCCACTCCCACCAACCCATGCCACTTCCACCAAGCCACACTCATAGAACCCGTAGTAAAAGAATTTGAAACCCACCACTGATCTAATGGGACAAGCAGAATCAAATAGATAGAGATGCCTTCAAATAACATGTGCCATGTAGGCTTTACAGGTGATAGCTGACATCTTGAATTGTACCTGGAAGTCTACTGAAGCTGCATTCTGAACTAGCTGCAACTTTCTAATCCTCTTCAAGGATCATCTTATTTAATCACCTGCAATAGTCCAACTGAGTTGTGACTAAGATGTGAGTGATCATGACCAATAGCAGGCATCTAATCAATGTTTACAAATGACATTCTGGCCACGACAAACATTTGCTCCTTAAACCCATACTGTGAGTCCAAGAGGACGTTAATTGCTTTTCAGTTGTGGGTGAGTGTACCACCTTATCCAGAGTCAAGGATAGAAAATCTCCAGATCCAAGAGGCTCTTAAGCCACAGCTATGTGTTCTTAACAGGGTCAAAGCAAAGTCTGTTTTTCCCCATCCAGATTCCACAGACTCCAGACAATGGGGGGAAATATTGAGCTGCATGGAGCAGAGATCTACAACTAGTATCATCAGCAAAGTAATGATACTTAATCCCATATCAATGGAGAACCTTATGCAAAAGTTTTACGTACTGTAAATAGGAGACCCACCAAAAAACTGTGCCTCTCACTCCCAATCTCCCTAAACCAGTATACCATGTTCCAGAAGGGTCAGGATGGACATACTACCCACATACCAAGCCTGCCGAAGGTCATTAATAAGTGTGATTTATGCCTTTGACTAATCAAGTTTGAAATATGAAAATATGACTGAAATGAGATCCAAATAACCCACGCCCTCCAGCTTTCTCTGGCACTGTAAGATTACCACCTTTTCAACAACCTTCTCTGGGTAGGGAAGGTTGAAAACTGGATGAAAGTTGTCCAGTTTTATTGGCTTCCTAAGAGCAGTTCACTGCTTTATTTGAAGTTGGCAGAACTGTCCTCTTTTTCCAAAAGCATTCACCATGCAAGGATCCAATCACCTGTCATCTCCTGGGAAGCCTTGAGCAACCAGGAGGGACATGGATCTAAAACACAAGATCAGAGCTTAAAAGCCAAGGTTCCTGTACATTTCATTAGGACTAACAGGATTAATCTTTCCTTGTTAACTAAGCATAACTTAATTCTATGGGAACTGCACAGAAGAGATCCAGTTCAAAGCAAATGCAAGTGACTTAATCCAACAAATGTTTAGGACAATTCTCCCAGGGGACCTTTAAAACCTGACTTGATTCCTCTTTACGTAGAAAAGACTGGGTCACCCTAAACAGGCCTGCCTTTTTAAAATTTATAATAAAACAAGAACTGAAAAATAATACATTTTACTGCTCTTATCACCACAATGTAATCCTTAAGGATGTTTACCTGTATACTTGGTTGGATTCTCTTTGTTTTCCTCTAATAGTGCTCTTGGATCTCATATACCATTTCATTTCCCAGAACTCCTCTGAAAACCAAGAGGCCTCTACACAGATGCAATTTGATCCAAAGCCATAGTTACCTTCTCATTCCAAGAGGAGTCTAATGCAGTGATGGCTAACCTTTTTGGCATCGCGTGCCAAAAGCGGGGGGAGTAGGGGGGGCGCGTGCGTGTGTTCCCACACCCATAATTCAATGTGCCCGCTCCCCTGCGTGCAATCCCCCTGCGCTCCCCCGCTTTTGGTACGCGATGACACGGTGGGCCCAGTAGGCCCATTTTTCGCCCCCCCCAGGATCCAGAGCCTTTCTAGGAATCTGGGGAGGGTGAAAACAGCCTTCCCTAGCCCCCTAGAGGCCCTCTGGAGGCCAGAAACAGCCTGTTTCCTGACTTCCGGTGGGCCCAGAAGACCCAAAAATCAGCTGGCTGGCATGTGCATGCGCACCGGAGATGAGCTAGGGCAATGTTCACGTGCCCACTGATATGGCTTCATGTGCCACCTGTGGCACGTGTGCCATAGGTTTGCCATCATGGATCTAAGGTCTTAGTTGAACCATACAATAGCATGGGACAACTCTCTGTTTGAAATTCAACAGGGTCTATGAGGCACCTAGGGCAGGTTTGACAACGAAGTCTCCACCCCCCCCCCACCCTTGTGAGGGGTGAGGGCTGAAATCTAAAGTTAACAGGGAGTGATCTAACCAGGTCTTCCCAAAGTGAAAGTCTAATCAAACATCTAATTTCAGATCTGTAAAGCAAGGGAAAGGAATCTGCTCCTGCAATAAAGGATAACTTTATAACTAATATTTTCACAGTCAATTATTGTGGGATGATTTTTTTGGTCTTAATCAAACCAGAGAAATACACTATCTTTTTACATTTCAGTTTGCTATCTCCTCTCTGTAGAGGCATTATTATGCAATGCACAGTTTTAGCACTGACAAGAATGTTTGTTAAATTTAATTAAAGATATTAATTTTGCAAAGAACAAAAATCACTGAGCCGACTGCTTCTCTTTTTTTCCAGATCTCCCTTTGGAAAATTACCTTCATTAGCACCGATTCACTGAGCTTCTCCCTGTTGACAATTTTTATAGCGACCTTTTGACATGTTACACAATGAACTCCCAACTTCACAAGTCCTGCGGAAAAGAAAGAGAAAGAACATTGGTTAGAGGCATATTCACTTCTATGGCTGTTGACAACTGCATCTTATTCGAATCTCTTGGGTATACACACACACACATTCACACACTTTTATTGGCCCTTCTTCCTCACACAATAATGGATACATTTAAAATTCATCCTGCAGAAACAAAAGTGTAAGTGCCACATTTAATTTTTCCTACGGTTTATGGAATTCAGTTTTCCCTAATTTACTAACTAGATCAATCAGAATATTGGAATGTCTAAATTACAGTATTTGTGTCTACATACATTTTCTTAATCTATGATAAAATCTAGCAATAGGCAATAATATTGAAATGTCTAACAAAATGTCTAGTGCAGTGATGGCTAAACTTTTCGGCACTGAGTGCTGAAAAGGTTGCGGAGAAACGTTGCTCGTGCATGCACATGCTTGTCACGGCCACGCTCCGGAAAAGCCGAACTTCAAAGTTCTAGCGCACATGCATGTCCAATGATCAGCTGGCCGGCGCACATGCGCACACTGGTTTTTGGCACTGCTGTGCACACAAAGGACAGGTTGTGCATGCATGCGCAGAAACCCAGAAGACAAACAGGCAAGCCGTGGATGCCGAGTGACATGGCTTCGTGTGGCACTTTGGGCACGCGTGCCATAGGTTCGCCATCATGGGTCTAGTGCTTATTAAAGGTAAACTTGTGCATCATTATTTGAAAGCAAGTCATACGGAATTCAATCTGGCAGGACATTTTATTAAACAACTAAAGCTTAATTATGTAGGGAGAATCAGCTCATTCTTTATCTTGGTTTTCAAGAGCTCCAATTATCAACAAAATTGCATAATTATTTCCATCGTCCATAATTTGCAAGAAAGCCACCGTCTTAGCATATTGTATTTATCTTTTTAAGCCTACAGATGTCTTTCAAAAGAACAACCTAGCTAATTCAGGGCACCTAGATGCAGAGGAGTTGTTTAGAGATACAAAACACCAGTCTACATTGCCATTTTTTCCCCTGAAATATTCCATTGAATCAGTGTTCTCCTAAAACATAGGATAAATATTCAAATGGATTACTCATCTGGATTACTGCAATATGCTTTACATGACTACCCTTGAAATGCATCCAGAAGCTTCAACTGGTACAAGATGCAGCAGCAAGAGAAATCTTTGGGACCTGTTGAATGACCCATGTTCACTGTTACCTGCACCAAGTAACAGTTTGCTTCTAGGTGCAATTCAAGGTGTTGGTTATGACCTTTACAGTCCTCCATGGCATAGGTCTAGATTACTTGATGAACTATCTCATCCTGTTAGGACAAGCCCACCCTATACATGCTGGTAGAGGAAGCCTGCTGAAGATCCCATCGGTCAAGGAACTCCGACTGATGTGATCCAGGAGAAGAACCTTCTCTGTGGTAGTGCCAGCCCTCTGGAACATCCTGTCCCCTGGGATGAGGTTTCCCCCCATCCTCCTATCCTTCCACAAGGACCTGTGGAAGACCTGGCTTTGCAGGTTGACCTGGGGATCCAATAGGGAAGTACCTCACCGGAGGTGGCTACTAGACTAATTAACTGAACATACCTTTCTCCTGTGCTTCCTGCTCCCCCTCTGCCCATCTTTTTAAATTTCATATTATTATACTTCCGTTGTTTATTTTTATTGTTTATTTTTATTCCTTTGCTATTGTTATGTTTTCATATATTTTTTTTTCATTTTATTGTTGTAAATCGCCCAGTGTAGCCCCAAAGTGAAATGGGTGGCAAATAAAATTATCAAATAAATAAATAAATTTTTGTTTCCTCACAAATAGAAATGGATATTCTATTCTAGGGAAACTTTTAAAAAAAAACTCCTTAAAATATATCTATTCTCTCTTTTTTTTAACAAAAAAATCGTATTAAATCCTTGGATTATTAAGATTATTATTTTGTATAGGTAGGTGTCTAAGGCAATTTGAGAATTGTAGCCAGAATTTGAAGATAATGCCAATGAAGGAAGAGGAATAAATGCCAGGGATTTTTTTCTCTCTCCATACTCCAGTGTAGTTTCAGCTGTTCGAATAACAACTGCACTAATTCAGTGAGCAGAAAAGAACTAAGGCTCATCTGCAGGGGGCACTCATGAACGCTTTGAAATGCTGGAAGTGAGTTAGGTTATTATTTCTTTTTTTAATGCTGTTGCTTGAAAGCCCATAAAGACAACACTCTGTAACTCTGTTCATAACTGCACCCTCCCTGCAAAGCTGTCACTATAGGTAGGCAATTTTTGCTAGAGCTGAATTAGCAAAGACAGCGATTGTCAATTGTGGGAAATTCTGGAACTCAAATTCTGGTAGCTGTGCACATGATCCAGAACTTGACTCTTAGGACCAGGTCTTGATAAATCTCAAAGCAGGAACAAATCAAGTGGGAGAATGAAAAAAAAAACAACAACCAACCACCACCACCTCTCCTGAAGGATGTCTGCCTACTCTCCCATTCTATCAAGGTGGACACTCTTCGGGTCCCTTCTTTGAGACAATGCCATCTGAAGGGATCCAGGAGACACCCACTCTCTGGAAGGATCACCCCTCTCCTCCAGCACATAGAAAGACATTAAAATTTAGCTTCCAGCTGCCTGCAATTACTGCGAGTTCAATTCTCACCAGGCTCAAGGTTGACTCAGCCTTCCATCCTTTCTAAGGTAGGTAAAATGAGGACCCGGTTGTGGGGGCAATAAGATGACTTTGTATAAAATATACAAAATTATGAAGGCTATTGCTTAACGCATTGTAAGCTGCCCTGAGTCTCCGGAGAAGGGCGGCATATAAATAAATAAATAAATAATAATAAAAAAAAAACCTGCCTATTTCATTGGCTGTTGGGGCCAGGATAATGGGAGTCCCTGTGTGGAGGAAGGTAATAGATGATCTACTAAGGATTTGTCTTAACTTTAATTGAATTTATTTCTTTTTGTTTATTTCTTCTTCCTCTTCTTCTTTTCCTTCTTAGGCAAACCACCCAGAATTGCAGTTGTTCAAGCTGGAGGGGAGGGACAGAGAGAGGATATACATTTCTTACAAAAATAAACAACCCCATGCCCCAAACTGGATAATTTATTCTAGCGTCCATGTCAACTCAGCCCTTTTATCTTTCTCTCCCTGAAGACCTTTGTCTTCATTTCTATGTTGTGGAATAACCTTAAGAGTGCAACTTAGTATTTCAGCTGTTTAGGGTCCTGTTAGGGTGCATCAGTTAAAAAAAAAGAACATGATAATCTCTTAACAGAATTGCTTAGGAGTGGAAGTCTGTGACTATTTAGACTCAGAAGGGTTTTTGGTTCAGTGATGCAACTCTAGTCTGTCAAAACCGTTAACCATTATTGTTCAAATCAATAATCATTACTTAATTCTCAATGTATAACAATTGTGTTGCTTCTTTCCACAAACTTTCATTGTATTTATTTCTGTAAGACAATGGTTTTCAACCTTCCTAATGCTGTGACTCTTTAATACAGTTCCTCATGTTGTGGTGACCCCCAACCATAAAATTATTCCTAAAACCATCGAAAATATGTGTTTTCCTATGGTCTTAGGTAACCCCTGTGAAAGGGTCATTCGACCCCCAAAGGGGTCGCGACCCACAGGTTGAGAACCACTGCTGTAAGAGCAGCAGCTACTCTGTGAAGTCTTAAAATAGTCTGATATCATCACTTTGGAATACACAGTATATGAACTCTGAGATACCACACAGTTCCCCAATTCTATCAATATGTATCCTGGTTTTAAAATGTATTTCTTAGCTCCTTAATACAACAACACGTTATAGTTTCTTTTTAGAAACAATTTCTATATCAAATTTACAATATCAATATCAAATTTACTCGATGCTGAATGTTATCGTTTTGCAATTCAGGATTTCATTTTTAGTTCATTATAATGTTCACAAAATTATCAGGTCATTTCACTTAAATGTTTATTTTGACAGAAACTTACTTACTTACTTACTTACTTACTTACTTACTTAGTTTAATAAGAATAAAATTTCTAAATTGTTACTGCTTTCCCAGTTAGTATGTCTTGCTATAGAATAAATTGATCACCTGTCAGTTTTATGATTTCATTAACTCTATAAATTGAATTACAAATCACCAACACTAAGAACAGCATCATTCTGTTTGGAACATTCCCGATGTTATAATATTTAGTTCAATGGTTTCCAATCTCGGTAACTTTATGGTGTGTGGACTTCAACTCCCAGAATTCCCCAGGCAGCATTGTCCACATATCTAAAAGTTGTCAAAGTTGAAAAAGAGTGACTTAGATTGATTAACTCTTAATTTCTTTACATATCAACTACACCACTACTTTTTTTCTGATTAAAACCTAAATATCTTTTCTTTGTTACTCCCAAAAAACCTCCCTGACTTAATGATCTAGATGGCATTTCCTCCTGTCAGCTCCCACATACCCAAGAGCAAGGTTGCAGAAACATCTGTTGTCTGGGACAGAAAATATCTATGCGTCCCCTGTGCCAACATTAGCCTAGTCGACAAGTTTCCTTTGATCTCAAACACTGAGCTTCACTAGAAGCAGAGCTTATAATTTTAGGTCAGGGAAGAAAAGGTGGTGTGGGGGTGGGTGGGGGAGGACAGAACAACAAAAGTGAAGCTAACATCATCTTTTCATTTTTAATGAAAACCTGATGAAAGCTCTCGGGTGTTTTCTACCAAAAGAAATAAACCCCAAGATAGAAGAAAAGGAAAGATTGGCTCAAGAACAAAATAGCAGGAGGAAATATTCAGGAGATGCACCTGTTAATGGCACCCTGACAAATTCTATAGATGGTAAATACGCCTACACATAGATACTTAAAAAGATATAGGGCATTATTGGGAGGGAGTACACTCTGGAAGTTAATAAACAGATCCTACATATTCATTTATGGAAATCATTCCTGCAAAATAAGCATGCTTAAAGTTGTAACTTTTATTTTGTTTGCTGTGTAAATGCATTGA